GGGGCATTAAGACAATCCGTGTGCTACTCGAGGTTTGCGAGACTGTACACTGGGAAGGAGCAGATAGGACATTTATTTACACGGTCCTTGTCTGGACGGCTGTGAGTCAAATGAAATCAGGTGTGACAGGCTCCCCGGCCGCCAGCGGGGGCGGGGCCCGTCCCGGGAGGAGTCACACCGGCTTACAGGCTCCCGGGCAAAGGCGGGTCGGCCGCCGCATCCAGAAGGTCCACGGGGAAACAGAAAAACCAAGGACAGAACCAGCCTCTCCTGTCTCTGTGCAGGGTGGGGAGGAGCCCGCCCATTCACTCTCTGGGTGAGAGAGACCCCACAACCAACCTCTTCTACCCCCCCACCCTCCCACCCCACTGTCTGACCAAGCCCGGCAGAGCTTCCTCCACCCCAGGGCAGAGTGTGGTGCTCTCCTAGGTGGCGTTCGCAGTGACGGATCCCCAGACCCCCGGCCCGGAGGGAAGGCACAGGTCCTCCAGGCTCAGAGCCCACCGATGCCCCCCGCAGCAGCTGTGTACAGAGGGAATCTGGAGGGACAAATAGCAACAGGCCAGCAGGTCCCCCATGGGAGCGGTCAGAGCCCAACTGGTGTGAAGTGCCACCACTTACACCTGTGTGATCCCGAGCAAGTCATGGGCCTCAGTTTCTCCCCCGGGAACAGAGACTATTGGTGTTGACTGTGAAGGGTAACACAGGGCACATCCCCAAAGCCTACCACGCCAAGGGCCCTAGACAGTCACTAGGATCAGAGTCATGGAGCCCGAGGGTCACTGTACGAGGGGTCTCATGTGCCTGAGGACGGGGTCTCTCGTGGCCACTCTGAGGCAGTGGCTTCACCCGTCAGCCCCTCGGGCTCTGCCCCTGCTGCCCAGGGCCGCCTCCCCCGAGGTCAGGCCCTTCCCAGGACGGCCCACACCTGATGACCGATCGAGGGGGGAGCATGAAGGCTCAGATAGCTCCCCCCAAGTGGGGACGTTTCTGAAGGGCTTCTCCAGCTCCGCGCTCCCTGCGGCTAGGCCCAAGCCCATCAGGCCCGCACTGCGGCCAGAGCCTTCCTCTGCCCGCTCCAGCGTCCCTCCCCTCCTCCCAAGGGCTCCCCCTCAGAAGCCCCCTGCGCGCCCCACTGTCTGAGTCAGCTTCCCGGGAAACCCAGGCCGTGACAGGTGGCTTCTCTGTATCCTTTTTCCTTGGGAAGGGAGGAGGGAACCCATGGGAGGAAGACAGTGGATGCCGTGGTGGAAAAGGCCAGGAAAGAGTCAACAAAAGGCACAGTGACCTCTTCCCTTCCTCTGCAGTGTAAACAGTGGTGTTAAAGCAGGCGCCGCATGGGGGTCAAAGCAACGACACTCACCAAGCAGCATCCAGAATCTGTCCTGGCCTCTGTCCTCACGGGCAGAAAGACACCAAGAGACCACAGAGGAAAAACGGAGAAAAAAGAAGGGGAGAAGCAGCCCCTGGGACCACATGGTACCGACCCCACAAAGACGGCCAAGGAAAGTGCCAGAAGCGTCCCTGGAGATGAGCAGATCAGTTACTGGAAAGTGAGGTGTCTTCAGACCCGTGTGTCCTCAAAGGCAAGAGCCTGAGGTCTTCCCACAGTGTAAACACCCACAGGGACGCCCCTGGTGGCCACAGGAAGGGGCCTAAGTAACCAACCCAAACATCTCCTTTGCTGGGCTTCTGGCTAGACGTGCGTCAACTCTGACGGTAATGGCGTCCTCACCCTACTTCTTGCTGGCAAGAGCCTGGTAGCGAGAGCCCTTCTTCTACTTGGAAGTAAAATTTCCTCCTAATTCAAGAAATGCAAGGTGTCGGGCAGACATGGGCATTCAAAGGACACCAGATCTAGGGAAGGAAGGGAAGGCCTCCGTGTGGGGAGCCCCGCAGCAGGGCCGGATGCTTCGCACCACAGATCGGGGGAGGGGAGGCCTAGAAGACAGGAGGGTTTGTCCAAGGCCCCCCAGCAGAGCGAGGCCAAGAACTGACCGCCAGAGGCTCCGACGAGAGACTTTCTCCTCGGCCACACGGCTGGCCACGGGAGGTGCGGCCAGCCACGAGAGAGCCGAGAGAAGCTCGGCCGCCAAAGCAGGTGCGGGGCAGGCCCTCTCCTGTGTGCTGGGCTGCGCAGGCCCCGGCACGACTCTGCAGACAGCAACTAGAGAGCGCAGCAAGCCCCAGGCCCACAGTCCCCCGCTGGGGGTTCCTCCCACAGCTGGGCTTGCACCCTGCGGATGGGCCCTTCTCAAGGTCCACCGGGACAGCTACTTCGTGACCCCGGGCACATCCACGCAGCGGTCACACTGAGCCTGCTCAACACACACTGACGTCCAGACACCCCGTTCTGTGGCAAAGGCAAAGAGCAGGTGGATGGCATGGAGCACGGGGGCTGACACACACACACACACACACACACACACACACACACATACACACACACCACGAATATCCATGACACCCGGGGCACTTGACTAGGAGCCCAGGTGGGAAGGACACTCACTGTTCACTGTGCGGCTTTTGGTTTGTTTTTGGTGGTTTTTTTGTGGTCTTTTGAGTTTTCTACCCATGAATATCATGCTTAGGCAAAAAATAAAAGAGGAGTCCACTTACATGAACTATCCAGAATAGGTCAATCCACAGCAACAGAGCACATCTGGGTGGTTTCCAGAGGCTGGGAGGGAGGAAGAATGGGGAGCGATTGCTTTTTAGGGGTACGGGGTTTCCTCTCGGAGTAATCAAAATGTTTTGAGACTATTAGATTTGGTGTTTGTAAAACACTGAATGTGCTAAATGCCGCTGTTTACTTTAAAATGGCTACTTTTGTGGTGCATGATGTTCACCTCAATTAAAGATGAAAAACAAAGTCATAAAACAAACAAATACAGACACAAAACAGTTTTCCACATCTGTGCTTGGGAGGCAGCTTGGCGATGCTGGTTAGGGGCATGGGCAGAGCGTGTGAACTGTGGGGCTTGACTCGCAGCTACGTCCAACACCACCACCTGGGAGGCCTCGGTTAAGTGATCTGACTTCCCCGGGGCTTTATCGTCCTAGTCGGTGAAACAGGCCTAATGACAGAACCTGCTTCCCAGGGTGGTTGCAACTAGTAAATTAAATGGTAGAAGGTAATTGTCCAGCATGGGACCTGGTACAGACTGGCCCCAGGGCCTTTGCCCCTGCTGTCTGCCCACCCAGAACGCCCTCCCCTGGGGCAGATGCTGCCTCCTTCAGGCCTTTCCTCAAATGCCACCTTCCTGATGGGGTGTTCCCTCGTCTCCTGACTTAAAACTGGAAACCTCCCTGCCAACACCGGCCCAGAGGCTCCATCCCCTCCTCGACCTGACCTGTATCTCTCCCCAGTACTTGACTGTGTATTTGGTCCGCCTCCTGTCTCCTTCACTTTGCTGTCTGTCCTGTTCACTGTGTATGCTGAGGCCTTGAGCAGGGCACGGTCCAAGGCAGGTGCTCAATAAACACACGCTGAATGAATGGGATTAGCGAACACCTCTGCCCGGATCCGGTGTGTAAACCTGCCTGCCTGACAAAATAAGACTGTTTTGTCGTTTAATGAGCTCTGAATTAAAAATCAGGCACCAGTTTACAGTATTTCCAGCTAAGTGTGATCCCCCGGGGTGGGGGGGGGGGAATCTGCAAAGGGAAAGAGACAGCAGTGAGATGGTGTTGTGTGCTCTGGAACATAAGCCAACAAAGTCACCCCAACCTCTCAGTGCCCTTTGTGCCATGAGGGCTGGTCCCATGAGGCTTCAGGAGGCTACGGACCACCGCGCTGCCATGGGCGCCCGGGACCCAGTCCCTCCAAGCACCTCGGGCCAGAGCCAGTCATTCACGGAGGGCTGACAGCAATACGGCCTTCCTCGGCCCTGCCCTCCTCCGGGGGCCCAGCGGGCACCCTCCTGGGACTCCTCTTCCCAAGGCTCTCAGGCCTCAGAGGGGGAGATCGTGACCCCAATCCTCGAGAGTTCAAAAAATGCGGGGGAGACAAAAACCCTCAGACTCTTCTAAAAATAGGCCTTCTGGTTAGTTCTCCGATGAGACCAAGACACCATGACTCCACAGAACGACAGATATGCTTTCTCGCGGCCTCCAAACCCTGTGCAGAGCGAAAGAAAAAGCTGATGCCAGCAGTCGCGAAGAGTTCAAGGTCTGAGAAAGAGACTAAAACAAGACCCCGAAACTGTAACACCAGCAAGGAAGCCTCTTCCATCCCACCGGGTGCTGGGGCTGCAGGTGTCACCTGGCTTCGGGCTGGAACCGAGGTGGGGGTTGAGTTCAGTTCGGAGACACCTAGTCCCACAAGTCTCAAATTTCCCCGAGAGTCAACACATCACTTGCTTTTTAGCCAAGTTCCCAGGTGAAGGGGTGCTGCTGGTCCAGAGACTACGCTTTGAGAACCACTATTGCTCGAGAGCAAAGCCTTCCACGTTAGTCTTGCAACTGCACACAGGACCTGCAGACAGACAGACAGACAGACAGACACACACACACACACACACACACACACACACAGGGCCAGAGAGAGCGCCCCTGCCCAGCCACTGGTCCTCAGATAGCCAGACCTGCCTGGCCCAGCCGCCAGTGGATGGAACCCACAGGGGTACTTGGACCCCAGAAGCTGTTCCCATTCCAGTCCTGCACGAGCCAGTCACTGCGAGAGGCTCTGGGGCACACCCGAAACCCCTGAAACCCAAAGTCACGGCATTTCCCTTTTTTGAGAGCAGTCATGAGCCATCCTGCCCCGCTTCCCCCCATGCACATGGGTAATCCCCAGCTGCAAGATCCGCTTTCTGCTCAGGGATGCTTTCAAGTTTCTGAATCTGAAGATGCAGCCAAAAGAGGAAACCACATTTAAAAAAAAAAAAAAAAAAGGCATGGCACTCAAGGGGAGCTACAGCATCCCTGATGGGGAGCACCTCCCCAAATGCAGGGACCTTGTCACCCACGGTGGGCAACGCCACCAATCTCTCACTCACCAAAATAATCGGCCTTCGGGTGCGCATCCATTTCACGCTCCAGACGTTGGGTGAGGGCTTCTAATTTCAATTCGGCAGCTGAGGGCCCAAGCTCGGGGCCTGGGATGAGGGTCTGGCAGGGCAACCTCACCCTGGGGGGGCTGGGGCTCTCCGGGAGCCCAGGCCCCAGGCTGCCATCCGACGACCAGCCAGGGGGACCTTCTTTACAAGATAAGTCAGGCGGAGTGGACATCACTGGATGGACAAGGCTGGTGGGGCTGAGCTTGGGACCAATGCCAGCGTCCGTGCAGACTGGCTTGGGACCCAGCCCAGGGGCCGCACCCAACTGCAAACTGTCCATGCTGGCTGGTGAGGATGATGAGGCAGAACTAGAAAGGTAAGATTTGGGTCCGTCTTGGAACCAGGGTTGAGGGTCCACCATGGGTTTGGGCGTCGTGCCTGAAGCCTCACTCCCCACCCCCGAGTTTGTTCTTGGAAGAGCTCCTTGGCTGGGGCAGCTCTGGGCCAAGGGTGCTAAGAAAGAGGGGGGCCTGGGCTGAGGGGGCCCCAGGTGGGCCCCATTTTCTGGGCCTGGGGAAGAAAGGCTGGAGCTCACCCGCTGGGAGGCGGCAGTAGTCCAAAGCCCAGCCAGCTTCTCATCACCACGGTCACCACCACCACCACCATCCTGGCCGGTCTCCAGTGACTTGCTGGAGCTCGGGGAGAGCTGAGGCTGGTACAGGGGATGGTCCCTGGAGGGTTTGGGCAGTGGTGCGTCCGTCCCTGGGGTGCCAGGCCACCCACTCCCTGCGCCCGGCCTGACGCTGGGGGACACTCCTGGTTCATCAGCCCACTTTGGGCTTGCCAAGGAGAGGTTGTCATAATAGTCTCCGTGCGTGAGGCAGGAAGGATCCTCGCAGGGGCCCACGTGGCGGAAGGCAGACATCTCCCAGCTTGCCAGGCTCTCCTTGGAGCCACAGTCCTGGCTGCCGTGGCTTGCGCTGCGGGTATAGGGCCTGGCCCTCTGCTCCTGGGGTGGGTACAAGGGTTGCCCGGGGGCCATGGAGGTGACTGAACCAGGACCCACTGTCGAGGCAGCTAGAGGGGGCTTGGCAGCACCATCCACGGTCAGCTTGCTGCTCATGCTGGCTTCCCGGCGGGCCTCTGGGCCTGGGGGGCCCCCACCGTTGACCGGGCCTCTGCTCCCCCTGGGCAGGGTGTCGTCCTGCAAGAGCTGTTGTTGCTGTTGGAGGTGGATTTTGGCCATTTTGGTGGCAAACACCCGGCGTGTTTCCTCAAACTCGGGGTTGTTGCCTGCCCCCTTGTCCACTCGGAAGAGTCCATCCTTGGAGGCCTCGTACATGTTCAGGTCCTCAATGAATTTACTGGCCTCCAGGCCCAGGTCGCCGTACTTATCCATGTCGCAGACGGGTGTCGGAGCCTAGCGAGGCGTCCGGGGAGTGTGTGTGGGTCGGGGGAGCGTCCGCTGCTGAAGGGCAAGGGTCAAGTCCAGCCCGGGACAGGTAAAGCCTTCCACCGGCCCGGCGTGACAGTCATGACCCAGGCCTCAGAGTCCGGCAGAAGTTGAGGCCTCGAGGCCAGCTGGACCAAGCTCGCTTCCAACTCCCTTTCCCCTCAGAGGTGTCCACGTGGGGCCAGCTGGTGGCGCTTCACCGTCCCAGCCTGCTGTGCGTTCTTTTCTTTTTCAAAATCGTAAAAGGAAAAAGAACTAGAAAAAAAAAAAACCCAATCTCCTCCGTGAGCAACCAAACTCGGAAACCGACGCCGAGAGCAGCCGCGGGACGGGGCCGGGGGCAGCCGGCTCGGCCGAGTAGGTGGAGGCCGCCGGACCGGCCGCAGCAGAGGTGCGGGCGGCCGCAGGCACAGGCACGTCCCGGGCGCTGGGGGCTCGCGGCTCCGGGGCCGGCGCGGAGAGGGGCGCGCAGAGGGGCGCACTGGCCGGGCAGGAAGTCCGCGGCAGCCGCGGCGGGCGGCCTATTGTCCGATGGCGGCGGCGGCCGGGCGCGCGCGGGCCGGAGGGCGGCGGGACGCGGAAGTGAGCGCGCCGGACGCAGTCCCCGCCGCTCGGTGGCCGGCGGGGCACGTCCCGGGCCGCGAGGAGGCGGAGGCGGGGGAGGCGGCCGAGGGGCGGGGTCGGCGGCGGCGGCGGCGGCGGGCGGGCGCCCCGGGGCGGGCCTGCGCCTAGCCGCGTGGCCCCAACGCCCGCACCCCGGCCGGGCTGGAGGGCGCGGGGACTGCGTCAGAGCCGGCGAGTGGGCATCGCGCGGGGGCTGCCCCGGCAACCTCGGCCCCCGGCGATCCGGGCCCCGCTCTCGGGGTCCGGTCCGGCCCCGCCTCTGGCCGCGCTGGGCGGGAGGGAGGGGGGTGCCTCCGCGCGGAGACCGCTGGCGGGTGGCCCGGGCAGCCTGCGGGGGCCCGCGACGTGCCGCTTGGGAGTTTGCGGGAGTCTCGAGGACCCGCGCTCCTCGCCCCACCGTGCCTCAGTTTCCCGGGGGGGGGGGGCAGTCAACCCCGTGCGCCCCCGAGGCCGCCTCCGCCAGCCTCCCGGCTTGCCCGAGGTGCGCGATCGGAGGCCCGGGATATCACCCGGGGCTGGCCCGAAGTTCTCTTTAACAGGTGGGCAGACTAAGGCATAGAAGGGGTAGTGACCGAGATGCCAACATGGGAGCCCAGGTCCTCTGAAAGGGGGAAAAGAAAAAAAAGTCACATTGTTCCCCAGAGGGCGCGCCTTTAAGGCGCTCAGCGCAGGAATAAAAACACGCACCCTGACGACTCATTCATATGGGGATTCCTGAACCCGCCATCCCGCCCCATCCCCCCACCCCGGTCCGCGCAACCGCGGTGGGGGGCCGGGCCTGACTCCAGGGCGCCCCCGCATGGCCCGGCGCTCTCTGCACCAACTCCGAGGTGACCCTGGAGAGGTGTCATTGCGCACCAGGGCAGCCGGAGTGATCCTAAGGCAAATACCAGACTAGTCACTTCCTGCTTAAACCCTCAGTGCTTTCCCGGGCTTAGATGATTGAAATCAGCTCCCTGCCAGGGCCTTCCCCAACCTGATTTGGGAGCCTTCCACCACTGTGCTCCAGCCGCAGGAGCTTCCTCGTGTCTGTCCAGAGCCTGACCGTGAACTTACCGTGGCTCATCCTTCCCATGTCTGCTGAAATCACCTCCTCCTAGAGGCCTTCCTTTTAGGCACCCTCTTTATTTTCTGATCGGTCTTGATCACTATTTATAATTCTTTATCTGTTTACATGCAGTGTGTTTGGTGGGCGGTTGGTTTTCCGCCTCCCTAGACTGTTATCTGTATGCCCAATGACGGGTACACAGTAGTTCCTGATGGTTGAAGAAGTGATTTAGTGACTGTCTGCCAGGACTGTGGCAAGGAACAAATCAGGTAATATACATAAAAGTGCTTTGTGTGTAATCACCAGGATGCTTGTTGAAAATACAGAAATTCACGACTTCCCCCCTCCCCCATCCAACCTACCACACCAGGATCTTCATTTTAACACGATTCCCCGGTGCTCCGTTTGCACAACAGTGGAAGAAGCACTGCAGTAGAGAACTATATAGGATGAGGTATTTTTACTTTTACAAAGCCTTTTAATGTTTTTATCTACAAAAGTAATACCTGTTTATGACAGCAACTTTGAACAATACAAAGATGCGTAAACTTTTTGAAAAGTTGCCCACAATCCCCCTGTTCAGAGATCATTATTATTAAACAGTCCTTATGTATTTAAGTAATACTTATTCATTAATAACTGGGCTTCCTCACAAAGTGAGTGATAGGCTTATGAACTTTCTAGAACACTGGTTCTCAGAGTATGGTCCCGGAGCCAGCTGCATCAGCATCACCTGGAACTGGTCTAAACCTGTGGTTCCCAAACTTGGACATGCATCAGAATTCCTTAGGGAGCTTATTAAATACTGGATGCTGGGGGGCGGAGGGGGGGGGAGCGCCTGGGTGGCTCAGTCGGTTAAGTGTCTGCCTTTGGCTCAGGTCATGATCCCAGGGTCCTGGGATGGAGCCCTGCATTGAGTTCCCTGCTTGGCGGGGAGCCTGCTTCTCCCTCTCCTTCTACTGCTCCCCCTGCTTGTGCTCTCTCTCTCTCTCTCTTAAATGAATGAATAAAATCTTAAAAAAAAAAAAAAGAAAGAAAAAGAAAGAGAGAAAGCAAGCAAGCAAGCAAGCTGTGGCCCATTTTCCCTGACCCCCGAGTATTGGGGATGCAGCTGACAAAGTGCCGGGAGCACGTGGCCATCCCTGTGTGAAGACCGACAAGCCCAGAGCCAACTTCCTGGGTGTTCAGTTCTAACAGCTGGAACCCTGGTACTAGAGTTACAAACACCTGCCAGGGCCTCTTGTAAACCAGTTTTCTCTTTTCATGCTAACTTGGCAGCAGTGCCTGGGCCCATAATCCTTGGTCCCTACCTGCTCCCTACTCCAACCCTCATTTTGCCTTGCCTGGAGGGCTCAGAAGCCATGAGTTTTACTCCCCATCCCCCCTGCAGTTCTAGAAGCTACTGCAACCTCTCCACCAACTAAACACAGACACCTGAACCTACCATCTGCATATTTTCTCACCGGACTGGCTTGTCCGCTCTCGGTCAGTGGAGTACCTTATACCTTTACAGAGCAGCTTGTAAAGATGGCATCCCATGAGCTTCAAACCACATAATGTACTCCTAGGAAGGGGTACTCAGACATGGCCAGCAACCCACTGGATATTCAACCACTGCTGTTTAATATTTAAAAGACAGACATGTTTTCCCATTCTGTGCCCAGCATTTAGAATCCCAGCCGTGATTATTTACTGTAGGCCAGTTTTGTCTGCTCTGTGTGCTTGGAAACATCTGTTGATTAGAATCTCAAAATATGTGTTAGTCCTTGCACATCAGTTGTTTAAAAAGCAAAAATACTGAAGAGCTCAATATTTTTATCGATCAGTAGGCAGCGCATGGATGGTTTTGTTTTCGTGTTTACCGATAATGTTTTGTTTTGTTGGATGAGAGATGTCCCACATTCTGTTTTACCAGAAAAGTTGTTCCAAGGCAGTGATCATTCCCCATGGCCCTGCCTGGAGAACCAAAGCCATTACCAAAACGCAGTTTTCCTTTAGTCTTGAAGCTTATTTTCATGAGCATACGGATGTAAAAAATACCCACCTTCAGGGTGCCTGGGTGGCTCAGTCAGTGAAGCGTGCCACTCTTGATTTCGGCTCAGGTCATGATTGCAGGGTCATGAGATAGAGCCCTGTGTCAGGCTGCATGCTGGACGAGGAACCTACTTAAGATTCTCTCTCTCGGGCGCCTGGCTGGCTCAGTTGGTTAAGCGACTGCCTTCGGCTCAGGTCACGATCCTGGAGTCCCGGGATCGAGTCCCGCATCGGGCTCCCTGCTCAGCGGGGAGTCTGCTTCTCCCTCTGACCCTCTTCCCTCTCGTGCTCTCTATCTCTCATTCTCTCTCTCTCTCAAATAAATAAATAAAATCTTTAAAAAAAAAAAAAAAGATTCTCTCTCTCCTTCTGCCCCTCCCCGAACCCCTCTCTCCCTCTTAAAAGTGCCCACCCATGAACACACTTGTGAAATGTGGTATTTTCAACCTGACCTGCCTAGAATCTCAGTAACATCCATCAGGTCCTATGCCTCTTCAGCTCCAACCCTCCAGCAGCATCCCGAACCACGCTGAGGACCCCGTGTGATCGGGCCTCTTACCACCTGCGCCTACCTCCTAGTTTCCCTCTACCTCCCCTTCTTCCTCCACTCCAGCCACACTGGCTTCCTCACCATCCCTGGCTCTTGCCCTCACCTTGCTTTCATTCACTCACTGAACAAACGTTACTGAGCACCTAGGATGCCCTGGGCCCTTTTCCAGGTGCTGAGGATACAGCAGTGAACAAAATAGTCAGACATGCCTGTCCTATCTGGACTTACATCCCAGTGGGGCAGGATGGGCAATAAACAAAGCAGATACATGGCTCGTGGAGGACATGAGAAAGTGAGGAGAGAGGCGGCAAAAGATGAAACGAGGAAGATGATGAGGGGACGCCATTTTGAAGGCACCAGTCAGGGACGGTCTCACTGAGCGCAGACTTGAGGAAGAGCAAGTGGAAGGAGCCCACGTTGGAGACAGACATCTAAATAGCTCTTCTCAGGAGTTTTGTCGGGTAAAGTGCAATAGAGGGGGAAATGCCATCAAGAGAGGCTTTTTTTGATTTTTTTTTTCAATATGGGAAATGGTGCATGTTTCTATGCCAATGGGAATGGCCCACTGAGGTAGGTGGGAGTTGGGGGAGGGGAGTTGCTGTTGGAGGAGAGAGAGAAGGGAATGTTTGGAGGGACATGCCCAAGCAGCAGAGAGGGCTGGGCTCCACTGCCTGTTTCATCAATGGTAATAGAAAGGATGTGGGCAAGAATCAGGTAGGTAGGTATCTAAGGCATCGGAATCTTAGAGAGGTACGTAGGTCTTCTGATTACTTTAATTTCCTCAGTGAAAGAGGAAGTAAGGAGGGTTAGCTGAGAGGGAGGCCGGGGAAATTGCTGTTGGGAACCTGCCACCTAGGGGAGTGGGAGAGTGAATGGCCTGGAGAAGCATGGAAACTTCCCCTTGGCTCCCAACCCCCGCCCTGAGATCTGGGGCATGGATTTCAGTGAGGCCAGCCAGCACAGTGGCGTGTTTTTCTCTAGCCAAGGTTCAGTTGCACCGATGTGGGCGTGAGGTAGGTGGAGAGCTGGATCTAACCAGGACGGGCTTCTGCCAAGTGAGTGCAACGTAAGTAGAGTGGGCAAGACAGTTGCCATTTCTCCTGCCTCCACCCTGCTCCCCTCCCACGATGTCCCTTATCCGTGTGACTCCCTGGCTTACGACCCTCAGTCTGCCCTCAGCGGTCTCTTCTCCGGGAAGTCCTTCTCAACTCCCTTTCTCCAGCCCCATCCACACCTGACACAGCAGCGAATGTCTGTCTCCTCACTAGGAGGCAAACCTCACCAGGCTAT